CCTCATTGTTTTGTAGATAAATTATATACACATATATATTTTATATATATGTATATATATGTGTATATATATACGTATATATACATGTATATACGTATATATACATGTATATGCGTATATATATGTATACAGAAACAAACACATATAAATATTTATGTATCATATGTGTTTTATTTCTTTTAGCATACATTAGTTTTATTTCTTTTAGCAGAAGCCCAAATCCAAAATGAGGTTGCTAATACTCTGAATGAAGYGAGCACCTACCTTTAATACAGCAATTGGAAACCAAAAAGAAACAAGAAATATTCTTACTATTTTCAATAAAACATGCTCAAATCCTTTAAATTCTTTGTGTCCAGAAATTCTGCCATAATATCTGAAATGAATGAAACAATTTGTTATCTATTTTGATACATATCTGCAAACAGCTTGGTTGCTTGAACATGCTCTGAGTACCTCCTTATTCTGAAGATTCTTTCAGTAGTTTGTACAATAATACTTTTGCAAGTAAACTTTTAATCATCTTTTGGAATTTTGGAATAGACCTAGAGAGACAGCCCCCYCCTCGCCTTTTTTAAATTTTATTTATTTATTTTTCTAACAGCTCTTTTCTGATGTTTAAACATCAGAATTATTAAATAATTTCTCCAAGCAAAGAGAGCTTGACCAAGGCACCCCCTGCTATGCATATGTCCTAACCAGAAGATTTTTGTGCAAAATATGGGAAAAGCTGTCACTCTAGTGCTTTCAAAATGAAATGGTGGTCTCCAGTGCACCTGGTGCAAAGTTTTTTTGTTTTTATTTTTAGATATTTTTGTAAATGTGGAAAATTAGACCCAATAATGCAGGTCTACTTATGTATCTTGATATTTATTCTGTATCTTAGATGTAAGATAAACAGTGAACACATCTGTCAAGGCTGGAGCATTTTATTCATTTTGAGGAACACATTTGCAGACCCCTAAAGTATAAGGCAAAAAACTAAGTAGTTTTCCAGATGTAAGTGCTTTATGTATTGGTAGCAATTGGAAGAGTCTTTCAGGGCTCCAGTATGAACAAAGGCTCCAAATTGAACTCCAACTTTAGATTTTTTTTTTTCTGAACTGCCCCATGTTGTTCTTATTATGCTGTAATTAGCTCTCATTAGACTGTAATTAGCTGCCTGGTTTTGTAGTTACAAGAATGAATAAGATATTCCAGTCTACAATGCAAAACAATGTATATCCCAAAATGGGCACAACTGATACTGCACAAAAGACCCCTTAGGATGCCTTCTCTCATCTTACACCTTTGGAAGCACTGGGGCAAGTTGAGATACCTTCTTTTTGGTACTCAGTCAATCATCTAGAATCATTTTTTTTTTTCTACTTTTAATTTTATATTGCAGATCTATGTGGGAGGAGGTTMAGGAAAAAAACAACACCTATGAATTATATTCTTGTTGGCAGCTTGGGCTGGAATTAATTTTGAAATTTTATGGATGCTTAATTAAATGTTATGGATTGTCTCTGACAAATTGTCACATAAGAAAAATGCATATTTTTAATTTGCCTCTGCCCTGAGTCATAGTGAATCCAGTTTAATGTTTGCTTCAAGACAAGCTAGGAAGTTTAGGGATTGACAGGTTTATTTGGTGAAAAGAAATCAAAAACTAGAACTTCAGTTTTGCTTTTGCTATCTATTCTTACTTGTTCCTTTTGTCTTAAAGTTAGATATATACCATGTTTTTGAAGTTGAAGGAATAGGAAACATTGCTTAATGATGTAACAGGGAAAGGATGTATTCCTCATAAAAATAGTAGGAAAAATAATTTTTTAGAGACATTGTGGTTTAAATTAAATACCATAACTTGATAGTGTTATTGAATGAATACTTTTTTGATCTGATCCCAACATGTGATATTAACAAGTGAAGTTTTATAAGCCATAACTGTAAGAATCTTTACAAAGCTTTATAAAGGATTATAAAGATTATAAAAATTTATGATGCAATAGTAGTACCAAATAGGTACTTGGTAATATTTTATCACCAATAACATGAATCTTCTGCTGTGGTTCTCATAGGATTTCTTCTAAGAAATTTCTTCCAGTCTTCTGCTGTTATGTAATGCCTTATGTATATTCCAGTGAGAGAGAGATGGAAGAGAGAGAAAGCACTAAGAATAATATAAAATGGACTTTCTTTGAAGGTTGTCTCCTTTTTTTATTTGCCAGGCTAAACTAGTCCTAGATCCTATTACAGTTTCCTGTTCCTCAGTTCTGTTCTTCTCTGTAGATACAGGACCAAATTATATCTTTACTGTAGATACATTAAAAAAAAAAAAAAAAAAAAAGAGGTCAATTCCTATTAAGATTATCTATACATCTATGCTACCTAACTTGTTTTTTTCAGATCCTCTAGAAAAAATGTTATTCAGCAAAGTACCAGAATCATGCCTGCTGTGTAGCCAAGTCCCTTACCAATTCCTAACCAATTTCCAGCTTCATTTGAAGGCCTTTGGCTGTACAATATCATTTTGCTCTAGGATTTTTTTCTGTTTCTCTGGGTCCCAAAGCATATGGGGGCAGAATCTAATGCACTTTGAGCTGACGAGCTCTGGCTGTAGAACAACTCCCCTGGCCTGTTATTTTCCTTTGCCAGGTGCCCTAATCCATGGCAGCCAGGGTATCAAATCWAATAAATGGATTTGGCAGCTGAGTCGTGTGATGCAGGAATCATAGAATCCTTAAGGTTGAAAGGACCTCCAGATGTCATCTAGTCCAACCACCCTGTRCTCACAGGGCCACTTGGAGCATGCGGCACAGGGCTACAGCCGAGTGAGTTTTGAAGATCTCCAGGGAAGGAAACTCCACAACCTCTTTTGGCAACCTGTTCCTGTTCTCTGTCACCCTCATTGTCAAGAAGTTTTTCCTTAAGTTCCCATGGAACTTCTCCTRCTTCAGTTTGTGGCTGTTTCGTCTAGTTATGTCAGTGGCCACCACTGAAAAGAGGCCAATCCAAAAAGTTTCTTTGAACAYTGCCTTTCAGAGACAGAAAATATAAGGCAATTTGGAACATTTGTTTTAGAGAAAACTGCAAGTAAATTATAAATTGGTAGTCTTTAGAAAACACTGAAAAGATAGAACCTCTTTGAGAAATAGTATTATTTATTAACTAACTTTTTCCCAGGCATAATTCTGATTCTGTAACATTAAAAATATATCATTTAGTTATWATCAGAAGCTTGGTGAATGACTACTACTCAGGCAATATGGTTATGGGGGCAGCTGTTTAAAAATCTTAAGATAGCTATCAATTCAAATATTTTTAGCAGAGAGGTGTGTATATAAAAGCTGAGGACAAAGTAAATGAAAGAAAACTTTATGAAGCAGAGAGATATTAATATATCCATCCATAAACCTTAACTGAGATTGTGCCTTGTTTTTCTGTTTTGCTTTTATCTCAGTTATACCTCTTCATATGTARTTTAGTGAAATGCCTAAGTTATTTTTCATTTCTGAACAATCTAACAATCATGTTTCTATTGTTTATTAATTTAGTTATTAATATATTTGCTRTGTTATCAGATAAGTGTATATATATGTATTACATATACAAACTGATGGGCAGTTTGCTTGTGTACTGCTTTTTTGCCTTTGTGGTTTTAAASTTTATAAGGATTGAATGAAATATCAGTTACTTGGTTATTGAGGAACACATTTAGAAAGTTTGCAGCATGACTGAAGTGGAGCATAAGTTGCAAATGTAGAAATGTAAATGTAGAATCACCGAATGACTGAAATTCCATTAGGATGACCTATGCTCTTCATGGAAAATACCTTATTTCATACGTACCGAACAAAATTTCTTCATCTCATCAAGAAAGAGAGAAAGGAGAAGAAGAAATAAAAATCTCTGCTATAGAGGTTTTTTTATAGATAATTTAACATAATTTTTACTGTGACTCTAATTCCCAAGTAACTGAGGCACTTATTTGGCTTCCACTTTTGTTTTGTTTTTGACATTTCTGTTTTTCTGCTTGCTGAATGTTGCATTCATTGTACTGTTGCACTAGGGTGTTTTCATGGAGAYACGTAGTGACTTCCCTACACATGGAGAGCTTTTCACACCTTGATTTTGCAGTAAGACCTGACTTTATCTGAGACATATTGGAAGGTGGAAAGTTGGTGTTCTGTTTAAGAAATAAATTGAGATCAAATAAATTCAGAAACAAATACACCCACAGTATTATATTTTTCAGATAAGAAATACTAAGTATGTTTTATTATCTATCATATATATCACAAAGCATCCTCATTGTTAGTGTGCAATTTTATCAGTTATGTGAGAGATGAAAGTGAGATAGTCTTAGGAGCTCATGATATGCTTCATCACACTGTTATTTCTAGTACTTTTGTATTAATAGGATTAAATGCAATCAAAACATTTTACATTCATTGTATTTGTTATGACTGATAATATTGTCACCCATTAAGTTTCATTAATAACTTTCTACTTAGCTGGCAAGATCTTTTTTGATTTTTTTTTTTTTTTCATTGCAGGCACTCCTATTTGGATATGAAACCATGTTTAGACAGGGTGATTGATTCAGGTTTGACATGCATAAAGAAAATATGTTGCTACCTAGAAAAGAAGTTAGCTGGCTTTCAGTTGGGATCCAAAAATCTCAGTGTCCATGTGATGAGAGAAAAAGTTAAAACTTAATCAGGAACAATCTTGTGAGCTCCTCAGGTTGGGGTTTTATATGTATCGTTAAGCCATATTGAAATGAAACCCGTGGCATTGAGTTACATCCTAATAGATGTTGTCTGTCTTGCTCCCTTTGTCTCTCTCACTCTCTCACTCTTGCTATATATATTGAAAATCCAGATTATATTTTCAGAAATCTGTATTTTCGAGGATCGTATAACTTTTTGGTTAACAGATATTATTTGGTGCACTAATATGAACATTTTTTTCTAAAACAATTCATAAAATCTCTCTATATATTTTCACTGTAGACAATTGATTTAGAGGGATTCAGGCTGTTCATGAAAACTTTTCTGGAGGCAGAGCTACCTGATGACTTCATTGAACATCTTTTTACATCATTTAGCAACAAAATCTCTCACTGCAGCCCTTTAATAAAAAACAAACCCCAGCACCTCTCTGGAGGTAAGTAGTAAAATCACAATAATACAAGAAATTGAGCTTTCAGAACTTACTCTTTACTTCTAAAAGTTAAATGCATGGAATTGTGAATTATGTGTAGATATGTTCTTTTTTTTTCTGTTATTTGGGAATTTGGGGAAACTCAGTCATGAACACAGGACTATTATGAAGAGAATAGAACTAAATAGTTTCATCTTTTTCATTCACAATAATGATGCAGCTGAGACACCAAGTGGACAGTGTTTTTCATGTTAATACTATGCTGAAATTGCTATGCTTACATGGTCCTACTGCCTACTGTGCTATGTAAGTGCTTAGAAACCTTCAGAAGCTCCTTCAGAAAACTCCAATGGGTGCTCCAAAGCTTTCCTTATCCTTTTGCTGACTCCTTTCTTAATTGCCTAATTGTGATGCTGCTGGTAGTAATCCCACGAATTTACCAGCTCCTGGTGTTTTACTTAACTGGAAGTGCTAGCAATATTTCTTTACCCAATGTGAGAAACAGGTTCTTAATACAGTTTGCATTTTTAATGCTAGACTGTACATTTTGTTTAGCATAATTTTGAATTTAGAGAAATTTTAAACATTGTTGTAATGATAAATCTTTTAAAAATTTTTTGAATTATGAWTTTTTTTTTGTAAAGGAATAGTCTCTGATGATAACTTTTTCCGTGATTATCACATACCATTCTGAACTAAATATATTGAATAGTTCTTTCATTTATTTTTCTTTCCTTAATTTTACATTAGTTGTTTTTTTTTCCAATTCTTACCTTTATGCACCCTAGTGAAAAGACATATTCCACTATTGCCTACTGTAATGTGTATTGCCTATAATATTTATTCTGATACTCAGAAATTAATTTTTAACTTTTTAACTTTTAAATGTCTCTTGCCCTTAGAGGTCCTTTGTGACAGAATCTCTAAGGGCARGACATGTGTAAATATAATCTTTATTGTCTACTGCAGTAGCTATTCTGAATTTCATACATTTTCAGCATTGTATTTTTTCTCTTACATATATAAATTTCATTGCCAGTAATGTTTTAGCAGCACAATTTTGCTTCCAGCTACAGCATACCTATTTTTTGTTGGTGTTTTCATAAGGAGCAGCATCCTCTACAAGCATGCACTGTACCAATCACCATTAGTTTGTATCTTTTAGATTCAACATGTTTTGCTTGAAAACTCCAGCAGCAGCTGACATTTACTGATACAGATTTGTTTATATATTATTCTATATTTTAACATATGAGTAGATATTTCTAGTAGATAGTCTGAGTAGATATTTCTAAAAGTCATCTTTTATCAATTTTGTGTTATTTTTCTTTCTGAGACTGGCATTTCATCTGAAGAAAAAGCTAACTGCCATTTTTAGGTTGTTGTCTGATTAAGTTATAATATCTGCCCAGTAAAGACCATGTTAAGCTTCCCCCACTTTTGTTACAATTCTCTGATAAATTTATTCCGTGTGTTAAAAAAAAAAAATCTTACTTTTATTAAAACTGTATACATTATTTTAATTATAATATTACTTACTTTTTTTTTCTTTTTCGCTTTCTCTTTCCATTTTTATTTCCTTTTAGCCTTTTTTTCCCTTGATAAGGACTTAAAATAATAATATGTTATGAGACAAGTTTTGTAGTCTTCCATATGTATTCAACGTAGTACTGAAAGGACAACTTTAAATTTTTTAAAGGATTATATCCAAAGCATATTTGGAGCAGCAGTTCAGTTCCTCTSATTCTAGGGTTACTGGTTATTTATGCTTCAAAATATGCGTTTTGTGTTGCAGTTCAAATACATGAGATCTTTACTACGTTTTATGTATTCATAGTTTGTAGTGATTAAAGAGAAAATCATGGACTTTTATACATTTTAATGTACAAGTGAAAATCATGGAAATCTTCAGGCTATTATGTAATTCTTAAACACTACCAATAAGAAAAAAAATGACCATACGGGGAAAGAAACATCTGACATTTTTCTGAAGATGGGAAGGGAACAGCTAGAGAAAATCACATGAAACGTAATAAGGTTCATAAATATCTCTGGAATGTATTCACTTTTTACTTAATATTTCTCTGCCYACTCACCTCTGTTTATAAATTGTATTTTCAGTTAAGGTGTCTGAAGAGAGATGGAAACAGATGCCAGGTGAGTTACAGCATTTTAAGTCAGTATTGCATCCCCCTTTCTACTAGCTCTGATTATGAAGAAATACTTTCACTTGMAGCTTTGGATAAGCCATAAGTTCATTTTTATCTGGATTTCAGTGAAATTCAAGGTGATACATATATGAGTTAGGTCCAGTTCGGTTCAGTGCATATGATTCAAATAAGATCAGAATGTGAACAAGTTATGTGAAACCGTGAGATTAAAGATCATTGTTCAAACTTGTGTTCCAGCTGATACACTGGAAATGCTTTGATAGCAATTATTATGACTTAAWTTGTGTGATTATTTTCTCGTATTTAAATTGTGTATTTATTTTCATGGTATTCTTAGGCCAAGGCTTGTACAATTTAAATATGTGCTGTTTTAACCTGCATTTGATGGGAGAAAACTAAAACATTTGGATGTCATCAAAGTTCTCTTTGATGTCACTAAATCATCTTTTAATTAATCTAGCTGATGACAGTTTGTAAATTCAATGAAACTGCTATAATACAAAGAAGTGGATGCAGAGTTGTGAATGGATTGTTTTAATGTTTAGATTAACATATAAATTAAGTAAAAATACTCAACAAAAATGTTGTGCAATCAAAGCACATCACAGCAGGGAAAATGAAAAAAGTGATTCCCTTCCCATAGTTGATTTCTTTTTATATTAGTTTGTTTTATCTGCATACTATTTTAGATTGACTATCATTTTAATTATGTATTGGCCATATAAGCTATGGAATGATAGTATTGATAAAAACTTCACATTTTAGACTTTAAGAAGTTTTCTGAAATTTAGATAAAGAATCAAAAATGCATGTATGTAGGTGTTCTGTTTTTCATTCTCTATTTGTATCATGGAGAAGAGTAACAAGGGCCATGTGTTATTCCTAGGTTTGAGACTTAACAAAGGTACCACTGCATCCCGACCTCCTACTCCTGCCAACTTGCAGTTACCAGATGCGATCCAATTGAAAGACATTGTTTGCTATTTGTCTCTGCTAGAAAGAGGAAGACCTGAAGATAAACTAGAATGTATGCTTTTTTATTTTACCTTATTTTATATTTTTTTATTTTCACAGAAGGAAATTTCATGAAATTTCCAATTCAGAATGTTGCCAACTGAAGAATTAATAATGACAGGGAAGTACTATTGGAGAAATTATTATTTATTTTTGCTAAGAGTTTTAACTTTGTTAGATTTTAGCTGGCTTCTTTCTATCCAGTGTGCACCAAGTTGGAGAGTGAGGAACATAAGATCTACAATTAAAAAACTTATTTTCTTGTGATATTTTCAATAAATTACTCCTGGTATTAGAGCTGTGAAAAACAAATTTAATATGCTGACGGTATTTGGAGATATATACAGATAATGACATGGATAATCTGTAGAAGATATGCAGGTAAAGATTGCACATCTAATTCAGACAAAGAACAGATGCAGGTCATGGATTTATAGTATTGATAAATATCAGAAAGTWAAAAATAAATCCATATTTTTGCCATTGCTAGGGGTGAGTGTTTAACTTGATTTATCAACTAGTGGCCTGGTTCACTGAAACCCAATACTGATTTGCAAATCCAAGAAAAACAAAGAAAACTTTTGTTTCCCACTGCAGAATTTTAGAAACTGGTTAGTTCCAGGTAGACAACCAATCATGCAGTCCTGTAGTCCTTCTTAAGACCATATCTACTTTGATATACGTAGCTGGTCTGTCTGTAGGAGAGCTGTGGGATCAGACTCCGATGCTGTATGGAAGGTAAATGCACAGTATGACCGGAAATGCAGACATAAGGCTCTATCTGCTGGAAAGAGAAATTCATTACAAGGTGAAGTGACACTGTGCTTTTGAACTATCTTCATATTTTGTAGTTTGCGACTTCAAAGGTGCTGGACTTTGTAGTGTAAAATCACTGGCAGTTTTTGCTTGGCAAAGATTATAAGGTTCTGCTCTAAGATATGATAATATCTGTGTGATGTCATAGAGTTAGAATATGATGATGTATGTGCAAAGATGCATTTCTAATGCATACAAAGAAAAAAAAAAAAAGAAGTTTCTAGAATTAAATTCAGCTTACCATATACTAATTCTTTCTTGGTAGCARGCTGTGCAAGCCTTATCAGAGCTTTAAAGTTTGGAGTGTTGCATGAAATGGAGATCAGCTACTTCACTGGAGCCAGGTATTGGTACAATGGAAAGAAGGAGAGGCAGAGCAGGAAGTGATTTTCAGGCAGGGAATGTTGAATGGAATTCCCATTTACAAAGTGCATAGGTGATATAATAGGTATATTCCTTTAGTGTTTAACAGGAAGAGCTTGTTCAAATAAATGTATTGTTGTTATACATTTCACATACTCAAGATCATTTACATTTATTAGTTAAAAGTAAGGACATGATTATAATTTAGGTTTATTTTATAGTTTGGTATACATTTTTAAAATACACTATATGTTATTGTTTTATACAGTGTCTAAATAATTGATTATAATATACCATTATTTGGAGTACAGAGTTCTCTGTAGAATCTAGCTGAATTCTCCTTATAAATCAATGGTATAATTTAACCCTTTGTCTGAAATAATTTCTTAATAGGCCTTAAGACTGTAAAGTGAAATATAAATTGGTAGCAGCAGACAGAAAAATAAAAGGGTGGTTTATTCCAGAGTTGCCAACATTATTATTAATCTCAAATCACTAGTTCTTCTGTTGACAAAAATGGGAACATGCTGATTCACACTGAGAATTTAGAAACTGGATTCAAGATGAGCAGAGCATGAAAGCTGTGCTTTCAAATAAAAATGAATATAAGAAGGAGGATTTTTAAAATAAAAACACACCAAAAGGTAAGAGTGTTTTATAGAATTTGGATGCAGGTATGATTTAGAAATTTTCGTAAATTTACTGTGATTTAGTAATAGATCATATACTTACTCTGATTTTTACAATAGATTTAGCAGTTGAGTGGATTCTGTAACACCTTAGAGTATACTGATATTCCTAAAGCTCTTTAGCACTTTGAATCTCACCTGTGACATGCCTAGCACATCTTTTGTTCATAGAATATGTTCGGCTTTAGTGCAAATTATAAGCCAAATTTTAGTTCAAGAGGTAAATTGAAAGAATGTGGGTCATGGCCCTGTTGTGAGGCCCTTCAGAAAGGGCTTTAGACATGAGCACAACCTGCATAGGTACCATAACTCCATGAAGATTATGTGCTTACAAGTAGTAATGTACATTTTATACTGTAYACTCAGCATAATTATAAAAAGAAACTCTAAAAATTATGAGCTGAGCATTTTTGCTGTCATTTCTTGTCAAGACTGTAAGTCCCTTCCATCCTGACACAGGCTTCCAGAATGCCCTGATTCTTTTTTTTGTGTTTTTGCAGTAGTGAAAATAGAAAGTGCAGTCAATCCACATGTGTATGTGTGTCTATGTGCAAATGAATTTTCCAGTTTCTCCTGTAAAGGCTGTGGTTTCCAACTCCTGTAATTTTAGGGGTATGTCAACCTCAACTTTGAAAGTTCAGCAGTGCAACAGCTGTTCTCATTTTGGTAACTTTAATACATTTTCATTTACTTACAAAAGGTTAAGTGTACAGTCTCATTTCTAAATCAGCCAGATCAAGTATGTTAGGGGATGTGAAAATGAATATGAAAGGATAGCTCCAGCTCTACTGCTTGCAAGGGGATTTTTGTTCAGGACTTTTTACTGTTTGTTCTATTTTCTCTCAGACAGAGTAGATCAGTAAGAACATGAATATTTAGAAAYGTATGAATAGAAAAGAGATTACAGCCATGGTCTGTAATCCATCATTCTGTTATTCAAAACAAAACATCAGCAAAGAATTAGGATTGAGCCTTATCTCTATGTACTGCCTATGTARCTGGAGAGATTTGGTTTGCTACCAAGGTGAAACAATTATAATTGTGCTAATATCTTTCAGATGACTGATCAGAACTGCTGACTCATGATAAAAAAAAATCTAAAATGAGTTCTCTCAAATGAAGAAAGATCAGAAAGCTGCTAAAACTACTGCTGCCCTAGTGGTARCTGCTGTAGAGAATTCATTCTATCACTGCAGTGCAATCATGGAGGAGGCAGAACCATATCATTTGAACTTTATCGCTGAGTGATTCAGTGACTCATCCCTGTGGAAACTGTGAATGCTTAATGGTACCTTTGCCGGATAATATTAGCTTTCTTTCTGAGGGCAGCTTTCACAGAATCACAGAACAGTTAAGCTGGAAAGGGACCTCTAGAGATCATCCAGTCCAAACCACCTGCTCCAGCAGGGGCACCTAGAAGCATGTAGCACAGGGTGACATCCAGGTGGGTTTTGAAGACCTCCAGAGAAGGAGACTCCACAACCTCCCTGGGCAGCCTGTTCCTGGGCTCTGTCACCCTCACAATGAAGAAGTTCTTCCTCACATGCAGATGGAACCTCCTATGTTTCAACTTGTACCCATTGCCCCTTGTCCTGTCAGTGGCCGCCAATGCGAAGAGTTTGGACCCCTGCTCCCTTAGGGTACATTCTCCCCTCCAGTACTTACACATACTGATCAGATCTCCTCTCAGTCTTCTCTTCTCCAGGCTAAACAGGCCCAGCTCATTCAGTCTTTCCTCATAAGATAGATGCTCCAATCCCTTAATCYTTGTTGCTCTCTACTGGACCTTCTCTAGAAGCTCCATATCCTTCTTATACTGGGGAGCCCAGAACTGCACACAATACTCCAGGTTTGGTAGAAGCATAGTGGCAGTACTCCAGATTTGGAAGAAGTATAGTGGCAGTGACAGTCTGTGGTGAGTTTTAACCATGTTTTTTCACCCAGGCATTTCTGCTATGTAATTGCGAGCAAAGAAACACTTTTTTTTTTCAGGTGTTATTATGGTATAATTTATGTATTTATGTAAATAGGACTTTATTTACAGTGGACTTAATGTAGCTTTTAACTACATTCTAGAGTAAACGTCTTCCATTTTGCATTACAACACTTAAGGGCATATCATAGTGTCTAAAATTATTAAAGTGAAGGAGAGGCATAATACTTGTTTGTTTTCTCAGTTAGGTGATCAGCATTGGTAGATGGTAGGAATGGAGGATATAAAGTGAGCACACTGATACAAATGCCTGTTTAAGTGTTTTTTTTTTTTTTTCTTAAGTCAAAAATAATGACATAATGACATTATTTCCCTCATTTTGCTTTCTAATTGCTAAGAAGTTCCTCTCACTTATCACTTATATTGTTGTTGACTGAGAACAGTAAATAAACTTAGCTTGCAGAATTCACTGGACAYAGCTACATTTCCTGCAGATCCAGTGTAATCAAATTATTCACTGTTAATATGTCATATGCTGTATTTTGTAAGACTTGGATTTTGCTTTGAGTTGAAACACTGCAATGCCCTTTGTGTTGTCTTTCTGTCTTCTTGCTCCTTAGAAAACAGTTCATTTAGGKATAAACTGGACGCTATTGAGGGAGGTGTGATTTAGCAAGACTGAGAAACTGTCCCCACCATGAGGGACTCTGGACAAAGAGTGAAGTATTTCTAGACATCTAGATTTTATTTTTTATATTTTTAATGTAAAAAAAGCTTACACCTTCTGCTAAAGGTATAAGCTTTGTTCTGCTCTGCACTCTAATCCAGGTCTGTAAGCTGCCTTTAAATGTGTTGCTGACAATGGATATTGCACCTCTTATGGCTAGAATCAGGTAATGCTAGAAACATGAAAGAATATATTCATTCCAGACATTATCAACATAAAGCTATTCTTGTCTGGGTAGTTCCTCAGCATTTTGAAAATATGTTTTGAAAAAGGTGAAACATGTTTAGGTTGTAGTCTGAAGCTGACAGAGTCTTGACATGTATGAGTAATGTTTATTGTTGGATTTGGCTGAMTAGATACTTATATTAATAATCTATTGTTTCATTTAGCTGGTCAGAACACATTTCTAAAGTGATATCAATGTTGAATTGCGATAGCTGCAAAGGTGGGAATGGAATAATATTAAAATTTCAACAGCGTTATCAATATTTACTTGACCTGGCACGTGTTATCATATGTTTGGCAAAGTGTCAGAGATGGGATTTTTTGTTGGTGCTCCCTTTGAAAATAGATGCTTTCTAGGATGAACTGGAAGCCAGTGTCACAGATTAAATCAGCTACTACCTCTTGTACAAGAAAAAAATGCTACCACAGTGGCCTGCTCATGTGTCTCACTGGAGGCACTGTCATGGGGCAGTCACTGAGTGTTTCTCATAGAATACAAGAGATTTGCTTGGTTAATTAACATGGAGAATAATGTTAATGCTGTTCATTCTCTGAAACTTGCATTTGTTAAAATGAGATAATATTACTGTTTTTTTCCAAATGAATTTCCTTCTCTCTTCTTTCTGTTTCCYTTTTAGTTATGTTTCGATTATATGATACAGATGGGAATGGATTCCTGGATAGTTCGGTAATTTTATTTATTAATTTTGATATATTGTAGATTGTTGAAGTAATGGTATACCTGTAGCAAACTTCACGATAACAAATAACTTTGTATTTATGCTGAATTAATAGAAACAGAATAAGTTGTACTCAATAGAAACAACATGCATTCTGAAAGTAACTCTGAGCTGTTCCATAACCCTCCTCATCTACARCTCTATGAATTGTCACATACTTTTATGACTTCTAGAACCTTCTGATTTTATAATATTTTACTGCAGAACATGATTCTTGAAACTTCAGCGTGCCTCTATGACAGGTATATGAGTGTGCAGTTTGGAAAGATTTCTATAAATAGGGCAAGTATGAGAGTGTCACAGTTGGGACAAGCAGAGAAGAGAAATGTCAAAACTTATTGAGAACTGAGGAGCAATATTAAAGATTAAAATTTTGAGCAGTAGCCCAAGCAAACATTTGAGTGGAAATCAAAGATAGAAGAAAAGTRAACAGGTAATATAAGAATAAGGAAGCTAAGATTCATAGACATATATATATGATGTCTTAGATATATGATATATGGCTTTATGATAGGGAATATAAGACATTAATTGGATAACTAGTCATGAGAAACACAGTATGAGAATACGAAATGGTTCTAGACAAGCGCCTGAACATGTTTACAAATCAAATTTTACACATGATTATAGGAAAGCACTAGTGATAGGTTACCAAAGGAAACTACAACACTGTAGTAATGAGAAATGGTCTCTGTATTAGGTTATACAGTCCTCTTGATGCCTTCTTTCCATTAGAATGTTCTGAATTTTACAATTGCTGAGTAAAAATAATTTTTTTTAGAGTGATGGAATTTACTGTAAATCATAGGATGAGCTTCAGATCATTAAAGCAGTGGTCAAATGTACRATTAGGAAGAAAGAATGTTACTTCTTTCAGTCCAAAGGCTGTCCTTTCATTGTTGGTCCACATTTCACCTCTGTAGACTATACCTGCTATTTACCTAGTGATGTGGTTTCACATAAGAGGAAAAATATGCAGCTTCCAGCAAGAGGACTTTTTGTTAAAAACAGTAAAATGAGAGTCTAAACTCAGCTATGCTTTTAGTTTTATATGTTCAGTTGTTTGTACAAGGACAGGAGAAGTGGGATGTCTGTTGCAGTAAAGGTTTCTACATAGTGCACAAAATGCAGTCAGAGTATAGAGAAATTGCATTTCTACACAAAATGCCACTCCTTATAAAGAACTGTTAAAACATGTCCTACCTGTGCACTTAGAGATTCTGAGTCTTAAATAACATGAGAATTTGAAATTTGTTTTTTGAAGTATGAAATYACACCACAGTTTCAGGATTAGTCAATGCAAGATTATTCACAGATTAATTGACTTGCTTTCTCTTTGGTTTTGTGCCACATTTTCTCTTTTAAATGAAAAGTAAATAAAGTACATTAATACATTTAACCAGGGATTTCTTGATCTTGCTATCTCTGTAATAGTAAAAGCTACAAAATAGGATTTGTTTCAAGTGAAAGACTTGYTTTCACAGGATATTAATTACTCTAGAGGAAATATTTCAAAAATTTGCCTCTGTATTTTGCTTATAAGCCTCTCGTGTAGTTAAATTCCCATGCAAACAGAGATCTGCAAATGCAGTTTATGTGTTTCTCAAGTCCAACTTTAGTGYAAATCCTCAGGAGTTTTTTTCCAGAGTTGGATATTTAGAGAGTTCTTTGAACATAATAATGAGGAGTCTAATCAAGAGGCAGATTTTGTGCTTTACATTTATGTCCAGAATATTTCCCATTGTTATTATTAACACAACATTTCTACTCAGTGCCTTCMTAAACTCCTAGAATATAGGGAGAAAACTTTGAAATAACTCTGACAAATTGAAGTTAGTTAATTTAAACAAATGTTTTTTTGTTTGTCCGTTTGTAATGTCAAATGAAGAATGTAAATTTTTCCTGCTAAAGTAGCATGCTAAATATGAGCCCTAAACCTTTTTTTTTTYCTCACAAAAAAAAAAAAAAAAAAAAAAAAAAAAAAAAAACCTTTTCTGCAAGGGTAAATACATTTACATAGTTATTTCTCCTTTTACTGCTCAATGGATCTCTGTTCTTTTTGGCTTTGGTAACAATCACATTGCACATTGATTAGAAGTTAGATAATGACTGCATAATGTTTGCAGGATTAGAAATGTAATTTTCCATATATTTTAGTGCTGACAAAACACTATCATTAAAGGCAACAGGTTTGAATCATAAGCTTTTTGCAGTAGAAATTGCCTTTTGTAATATTGGGCTAAATATTATCATTCCTTTTTTTTGGGCTTATAGGAGCTTGAAAATATCATTGCTCAAATGATGCATGTTGCGGAATACCTTGAATGGGATGTTACTGAACTGAGTCCAGTAAGCATACATTTTATCACCCATTTTTGATATTGTAAGAGAATATTTTTAATAATTTTGTGATACTTAACTCCTTCATGTGATTTTAGATATCAGAAAGATCAGTAATTATAGTAATCTATGCTTTATTATGATAATATTAAGTAGCACTTCTACAGGTCTTTTTTTTTTTTTTTTTTGGTTAAATCTATTCTATGAACTGCTTTAGCTCTTTGCTAAAGTTTAAGGCTATCCTTCAGAGCATATAATAATTAATATTTAAAATACAATTGACATATCCCAGAAAAGTTCTTAAAAGGATCTGTCTCTGAGTTGTATTTTACATCGTAAATACACCATTAGTTTGTGAATAGGTTTTAATAAAACATAAATAAAAATAGGCAGTTTTATCTTCACAACTGTCATTAGTCATTTTAGTACATTTCTTCCCAAGATGCCATATTAACTCTATTTTCCTTACTGTTTGTGCATGGATGTGAGATCAGAGTTCTGTTCTTACTATTACCTTAGGATATGAAATTTATGAGGATTTTCATTAAAACTGTGTAGATCCTCCATGAAATGATGGAAGAAATTGACTATGATCATGATGGCACTGTGTCTCTAGAAGAGTGGATCCAAGGGGGAATGACAACAATCCCGCTCTTGGTGCTTCTTGGATTAGAGAATGTAAGTATTGACATAAAAGTCAAAATATGTTTTAATTCCCCTATGTAGCAACTTGCTTGGAACAGTGTCTAGGCTTCTGTGTATGATAATGTGCTGTGTGGACTAACCCTAGTGAATCACAGAAGAGTCAAGGTTATAAAGGACCTCTGAGTTAATGTGGTCCAAGCTYGTGCTGAAGGCAGAGCCTCATAGTAGGTTATCCAGCGCCCTGCCAAGCCAAGTCCTGAATATTTCCTGCGAGAAAGATTTCACCATTTCATGGGGCAACCTTCTCCAGTGTCTGATTGTTCTGTGAGGTTTTGTTTATTTTTTTTTCTGATATCCAGATGAAGTTTTCTCTGAAGCATCYTGTGCTCGTTGCTTCTTGTCCTGTATCCTTGTGAACAGAGCTGCTATGTCTTCTCCATAAGCAACTCGGTAAACCAGATCAAGCAGCATTATCAGAGAGAGCACTTACACTGAAGGATAGGGTGTTATGAAAGAAGTGCTTATTCTTTCTACATTTACACAGCTTCAAAATAAAGATAAGAAATAGACAATATGATCAATTTTATAAAAGTTCAACACAGGTACCTTTAACATTGGCATGTTGCCAGTGCCACCTGCTGTCTATAGTTGTTTGATCATGTATATACCAGCATAAATTTCCAATACTTTTCTGTGAGCTGATATAAAACATTTTTATTTAGAATATTCAAAACTTTCCAATCAACCAGAATATAATAAAAATAAATAATTTTTACTCTCCCCATTAACTGCTACCAACAAAATTAAGTCCAGACTGCTGCAGTCACTCAATCAGTAGTATCTTGTTTTTACAAAGACTAAAACATAGGGAAATCTGCAATAATATGTTTAGCAGAAGATCTGAAATTCTTGCAAAATAGTGTACCTTATACTTTTATTAATCAAATTTACATCTGGATATCTGAATTGAGGATAACTTTACAGAACATTTTAATCAGCACTGCAATTATTGATTTCCTAGTTTTAAAGGGGATGGGGAAACAGAAAGTTCAATTATGTTTCTATCATGAAATAGCAAAATTATATCAGGTTATATTTTATTGCTTCTGCAAAAGTATGCTGGACAAACAGTAACACTTTCTTTTAAGCAATCAGTATAGTATATAACTACTGGGCACTTACAGTATGAATGTTTTTTAATGAGTTATTTTGGGACATGATACTTGCAGAATATAAAGATGCTTAAATTCTATGATAAATTAATGCAAGTCATTCTGTAGAGGCTTATTTCTGTWTTAAAGCGAAAGCTAAATAAATATAAAGCAGCAATGTAGGCATATATTTGCTAATTTATCCTTTTAAGTGTTAGTTAGTGTTACTAAGTGTTACTAAGTGTTACTTAGTGTTACTAAGAAAATAACAAATAAGCCGACACAGTGACTGATATTCCATAGTCCTGTGAACAGTACTACTATGGATTAATATCTATCTCATTAAGGCTGTTCCCATGTTTTTTCATGTGTTGAAGAAATGTATTTTTTCACAACTTCAAGTCTATATAGTTCTATGCAAAAATATATTTTTGATGAATAAACCTATTTTTAGTTATTTGCATTAGAGTAAAACAAATGATGTCATTACCTAGAGAGTCATATGAGTTGTGTTTTTCATCATTTGCTAATGATTTGCTAGGAATTGATGGCATCCTTTAAAAGGGCTCCTTTTTTTTTCATGTTTCAAAGACATGTTGATCTCTTGAATCATTTACATAGTAATTGTGAGAAAAGTCAAATTCACATTTTCCATTAAAACAGCAAAAAAGTTACTTCTACTGCTTTTACACAGGTTGAAATAATCAAAACGGAGTATCTAGACTGAAAAGTTAATCAATCTTTAACACCTATCCATTACTGTTTTTTGTAAACTGTGGACTTCATTTTTTTTGTGATACATTTGCTGTTGTAAAGCTAATCCTTTCAGTTGGTGGACTATTACCATTTCTCTTTACATCCTGTTGCTACATTTTGCTAACCCAGCCACCCAGGACTGTGCTTTTTGTTTGTCTCATCTCTAAAGCTTGAGAGAATAAAGGCAACAATCTCTTGAATGAGGCTTCTGAGAAATGTCCAGGTACCCTTCAGTGTTAAAAAAAAGATCAGAAATCCCAGGTTATACAACCTTTTAATATGAAGCAAGTTCCCTTGCTTCTCAAGGCATATTTTCAATACAAAATATATATATATATATATATATGTATGTATATATACACACATATATATATATATTGCAGTCTCTTGGCTTTAGCCAAGTACTTTTTTATTCCATTATGAACTAAGGCAATAAAGCCAAGTAGAGATTAATTTCAGTGCCGTTCCAGTATGACAGTGACAAAGAATGGTCACTGCATTTTCTTTTTCAAATACTGGAGTCTTCAGTCATAAACTATAATGTCTAAAGTATGGCAGTTTTAGGTCAATATGCATGCAGCTTGCGTGTGCCAGCTAATATCCAGTTTTATTCTGAATTTGTGCTTTATTCCTGAAGAGGATTCCTGAACCTGTATAGTGATACAAGATTCTTATTTTCCTATTTTTTTTGCATGTGTTTTGCTGTATGGGAAAAAAYAAACAAACAAACAAACAAGACTTGCAGTGGTCATAGGGATATGTAGTTGTCAAAGAAGTAGAACAGATTTCAAAAAACGTTTTACCTGTAGTAATGTTCCAGGACAGAAACAATGATTCCCTGTTCCYGTGTTTTTCGACACAGTTTGAGTCCAAACAAAAAATTTAAATAGATAATTGTGTGAAGTTCTTCTGGAGTATTGTGCACAGTTCTGGTCTCCCCAATATAAGAAGGATGTGGAGCTTCTAGAGAGGGTCCAGCAAAGGGCAACAAAATGAGTAAGGGACTGGAGCATCCATTTTATGGGGAAAGATTGAACGAACTGGGTCTATTTGGCCTGGAGAAGGTTGAGAGGGTATCAGATTAATATGCATAAATATCTGAAGGGTGAATGTAGGAAGGATTGGGTCAAACTCTTCTCAGTGGTGGCCAGTGATAGGACAAGGGGTAATGGGTACAAGCTGAAACACAATAGATTCCATCTGCATGTGAGGAAGAACTTCTCTACTGAGAAGGTGACAGAGCCCTGGARCAGGCTGCTAGGGAGGTTGTGGGGTCTCTTTTTCTAGAGGTCTTCAAAACCCACCCAGATGTGACCCTGTGCCACGTGCTGTAGGTGTTCCTGCTTGAGCAGGGGGGTTGGACTAGTTGATGTCTAGAGGTCCCTTCAAACCTTAACCATCCTGTGATTCTGTGTAATTGAGAACAAAAGCATATATATGATGATTTACTCCTGAGGGCTTTTGGCAGACATAAGCATTGGCTGCTGCTGTCCACTAGGAATCGCTCACTTGCATAGTGTTTTTTTCCAGTCTGTCTTGATGAAAGCATTTTATTTCTATTCTAAAATGATTTTGTGATAGGTGTTCTGTGATGTAGCACTRTGATCTGTGTCAGATGCCCTGCAGGACTCATACATAATTTTCACAAGAGCTGATGTTTGAAAGAAGTGAATTTAGGAGTGAAAAATATGCTATGTTTGCTCCCTTTTTCTTGTCCACTAGATGTCAGTGCTGCACTGCAGCTGGTACTACGCTAATGAAAAGCTGCCCTGAGCAAGAGAAAAACTGACAACAATAAATGCTTTCTAAGCATTTATTTTCATAAACATTTATTTATTTCATAAGCATAAATGTWAGTTTAGTGATAAATAATAGGAAGTCAGGCCACTCTTCGGGCCACTTTAATTCTTTTAAATTGCCCATTTTCATCTTCAATCCTTTTCACCTGCTTTTTTGAAGCAGACATAGTCTGAATGTTTACAATACAGAGCATCAAAGTAAAGCTCAATGAGACAAACTCATTTCTGTTGAAATCAATTTGATTCAATTGATTCAGAAGAAAATGCTCTTAAAAATTAATTTGGATTCTCAAACACCAGATATTATACTTTTACCTCATAAGAATTTTAAAAATTATTATTTGCAATTTTTTGATTAAATATGGATTGTAGTATTTTGCTGTGGGTCTACAGATATAAATTCATGAAACTTCACTCCTATGGGAATGGGGAATGCTTATCTTTGTATTTTCTATTATATTATTTTGGACTTACTTTTTGAGCCATGAATATCTGAAAGTAGAACCAAACCGGGAACTTGAAAATATTTTTAAGTCTGCCCCATGAAGAGTCTCGCAGTTTGAATTTCAAAGAAAAAACAAACAAACAAACAAAACAAAACAAAACCCACAGAACCAGTTTGGCAAAGTTACATTTCTTTAATTCAGAAATGAATGAGGATGATCTGGGCTTTTTAGTTATTTTTCTTCTTCTTTTTTCCCCAATGTTAAGTTTATAATTCTTTCTTGAAGAAATATTTTGATGATTTTTCTAAAAGMCTGAAGTTTAAATGAGCTGTATGCTATTTTTATACATACGCAGGCTGTCTTGGAAGCAGTTGTAGCTTTACCCTCTCTGTGTCGCCTCCTTACTAGTGTGGGAGAACTTACTCTGCGAGCAGTTTTAGCGATATCACTTCATAGGTTTACCACCAGAGGGAGGAACCTTTATTCTGTGCAAGACTTGATACGAGATACGAGGAGCTGCTAAAAAAAAAAAAAAAAAAAAAAAAAAAACCTTCTTTTACTTTTTTATTTTTGGGACCCCCCCCCCTTTTTTTTTTTTTTTTTTTTTTTTTAATTGCAGGAAGTTTGCAAGTGCCTTTCCTCTGCTGCAGATTGGTAAAAGCCCAGTCAGAGTAGGCCTAGTTTGTTTTGTCTTTAAGGATGTGTAAAATATACAGGATTTTATGGAAGGACATAAATTTATCATTATTTAAACTGTAATTTCTACAGCATTTCYGTCTCTGCAGGTGACAGGTGACTTGCAGTTCAGGGACAAGAAAACGTGTTAATTATGATAGTCGCTTTAAACAAGTAAGCTTTCTACACTCCTGTGCTCCTTCTTACATTTCCCATCATCATCATCTTGTATGTGTTTTATTACTTAAGCATTTCTGGGTGTCAGGATAATATATTGATTGCTACATGGACTAAAATTGTGGAGGTAGTGTTGTCTCCTCCTTCCTTCCTTCCTCCGCTGTAATTTCTTGCAAGTTGGAAATGAGGAACTCTCCCAGAAAACATATCTCTTGAGCAACTTTCTCCTTTTTAAGTTGAGAGAAACTCAGAAAAGCTTGCCTAACCCAACTAAACAGAACAAAACCTGACCTCAAGTCTTTGCTGAAAGTCCATCAAAGAAATGTAGAACTTAACAGTTTTGTGTTAAAAGAAGATGCTATGTGGTTAGTGGACTCAGCTCACCTTTTTACTGCCTGATTATCACCCAAAGATAACACTGCAAAGATTTCCTCTTGTAAAGTTTTATAAAACAAAGCAAACCAAAGCAAATCAAGCCAAAACAATAGGCAGCATATGAATAACTTACCAGATTTCCTTGTGTCCGTCTCCCTAGTTTGTATATAAGTTGCTCTGTTCTGAAGACTGATACTTCARGCATTTTGTGCCTGCTGTTATATGAAATAATGCTTGACTAGGATAAAGATTTATCAAATATTTTCTTACCTTTGTCATGTCTAGGACTTTCATGTTTTGAACCTTAAGATCTCTTTGGCTGYTTTTGTTTACAAACACCTAGAAAGCAGAAGTAATTTAACATCACCCTAGACTAAATAATGTAACTTAATGAGGCTTTCGAAGTTTGGCTCTTTCATGGGGGATTTCGTTTTTAAGGTCAAGTCTTTCTGTCAAACAAACCTGTGATAGGAGGGTCAGGACTATAAGTTAAGAAAACTGTTGTATTCCAAAATAAATGCCAGTATGTCATAATGTGTGCTAATGTTTCTGTATGACATATGGAGGCTTCATTTTCAGTGATGTATAATAAAGTGAGGAAGAAATTTTACTGTACCTGCCCTGCTTTGTGTTCTTCTTAATGACTATTTGTTTTTAAACTCCTTCTCAGGATATGAAAGCAAAATGACTGAATGTCACTAAATGCACTGATGTGTCAGAAATAAGGATTTTATTTATACTTAAAGTCTTACATTGGCTTTGTTTCACATTATCTCTCTTTTTCCTAGGCAGTGTTTTAAAAAGTTATGTACATACATAATCATATGCAGCACTTTATTGCTGATTTTTGGCAATGCATAAGAGCAAAAATTTAATTTGCTATTTTCCAAAAGTGCATTGTGTTCATGTAATGGATTTGTGCATCAGTTGCAGTCTGCAACACAGTTAAGTGTTTTAATTGGCAGAACATCCACATCAAGACTTGTTTGTTGTTCTGATAAGGAAAATGCCAGCTAAGTTGGTCCATATGTTCTGTTCAAATGAGAAGCGACACATTCACATGCAATGGCCATTCTATTAAAAATAAAATTGAAATGATAAAGTAAATGAAACTAAAATGGCCAAGGAGTATCTTTATGCAAAATCATGTATTTTGGGTTAGTGTTCAGAAATAGCAAATATTTTTGCTTATAAAAACTGATCAGCTTGCATTTTAAGTGCTGTGACTGACTTATGACTGTATCTGTTGGTGACTAGAGAAATGTGTTAAAATGAAAGTGTATATTCTTTATCCTTTTTTTCCTCAGAAACATTTACATTGTCTTTGTTGTTTAATGAGTAATTGTTTGCTTACAAGATTTGAAACTTATTCAATATGTTGCAATGTAACAATAATTTTAAAAATGGTTTGAATGAGTTGTAAGATAGAGAAACAGGAGTCAGAGAGTTTGCTTAATAAAATACAGCCATCTTTTTTGCTGTCAGTCATGAAGGAGCTTGACAGGATGTTAGGACTCCACAGCTGCAGAATCTATTTCTGATTCTTCAGGGGAAATTGGAAAACTTCCACACTCTTTGCCAGCCTGAGAATCCCACATTAGGCATCTGCTGTGCTCTTTCTGCAGAAAGGGGACCCTGACATTGCCCAGCTGTCAGAGATGGCATTTGAGCTCCTGCTGATAATATCAGGGGAACTCCACTTAGGTTCTGATCCTGATATCTCAACAGAGAGGGGAAAAATATTCCAGCTAATTTCAATTCCTTTCATTTGTAAGAAATTTGTAGGAGTTATTCAAAGTTCCATTCTGACTTGAACCAAAAAGTCCTCATTTCTTGGAGTGCTGATTTTTCTTGTAAAAGGAGTTTTTCTTTCAGGAGGATGAAGTAGACTTTATATTTGACTTGTCATTAATGACTATTCTTTACAGTAGAACAATACCAATTCCTAAGGACATAATTAACACTATATGTAAGAATACACAGTAAATCAGATTTCTTTTTTGATAAAGTCTGTGTCCTCTGACTTCAGTTGACTGATCTTATCAATGAAAATCGTTATATTATTGAAGATCAAGTCAGTATGTGTTTTGGTATATTGTGTTTGTTAGACATTCTTGTAGTTTGATATGAAAATCAGTAACTGGATGAGAACCAGCTGCTCATGAGGTTTTCTTTCCTCGTATCTGGCAAACAAATTGATGGTGATCAGTGTACTTTGCTACTTTTTTCAGACAGCATGTGTTGAAATATAGCAGAATTGAAAGTATTTAAATAAAATAGGGCAAGTTTGGACATGAGAAAATGAAGTTGCTTTGTCATCAGGATGATTTGGATTTGTAAAATGTATGATCAAGCACATTATTTACTTGTTCATTATTCTGTAAGTTTTGATGTGAAAACAAGGTTTGTGTTTTGTATTGAATAATAAATATCATAAGCATTTTTTGCCTGTCATCTCCCTTAAGGTTTCTATACCATTYTAATGAACTTTAAATCTTTAGATACATGACCGTATATCTTTAATAATGAAACAGCTAAGCCCACAAAAGTTCAGTGATGCACAACAAAAATCATACTGCAGCCCGTATCCAGATGATAGATATTCACTACTTCCATTTGATGTTATGCCTATAAAAATAAAGATAAATTTCAAAGATTTTTAGTGATAATATGGATTACATAAATCTCATCAATTAGTTAGAAATTCTAATAATTGTAAAAGAAAAAATCTATCAGTAACACTTGCTGAGAAACTTAGAATTTGCAGACATAATTGTGCATAATTTACTAGTTGTGCAATCTGTGCGTCATTTTCATAACCAATTTAATAACAAAGAGGTCACAAAAAAATGATTTCATTTGCAAGAAAGAGGAAAATTGTGCAGCTGAAGGCTTAGTTTTGTAATTGTAAGTGATTTGGCTCGTTATTTAGATGTAAACTCAAATTACAGTGGGATACAGAGGTGCAAGTCCCAGTCTGCTGGCTGATCTATTCATGCAAGATACGAGTATAAACTACTGCTAACTGAGGAAGACAGGCTTAGAAGTGAGCAGTTCAAATTTTAGATAAGAGGTCCAGACAGAATGTTAAATCTCTCACATGAAGACGTGGGGTTTGTTTTTTTTTTTTTTTGGTTTTTTTTTTTTTGGTAGACTGCTGGTAATCTAATTTGAAGCTGACAGTAGGTGTTATCGTGGTGCAGCTGCATTTTTTACTTCAGATACAATCGTAAGATCATTGCTCAATGATACCTGTCCCTCATTCTGATGACTCTGGAAGGTATCTTTGAAATTTTAGCAATCTTTTCTATTATTGTTTTGGGAGTTTTGCCTTCTACCCTGCAGCATGTTTATTTTTAGAGTAAGCTTTGAAGTTGTTTTAATAAGCCTCAAAGTTAATTTGAATTTAATACCTGCTTAGTTTTATTTCTAGAGCTGTGTTGCAGGGTTGACAACAGGCTGTTTTTTTCTTCTGTTTTTTTTTTAAACACATGGACATCCCTGAGAGTCTGAGGAATTTTTATTATATCATTGCTTGTGTATTTACAAGGATTTTACTGTGATCTGGTGCAGAGTATTAAATGAAGTAACAGCTTGTCTTTTACGCTCGAGTCAATTTCCAATTTTTATTGGCACTTATATATTTCATTGTTTATTTTATTAAATGAAATCTGTTTCTTTTATGTCTTGTGCAGAATGTGAAAGATGATGGGCAGCATGTATGGAGGCTGAAACACTTTAACAAGCCTGCCTACTGTAATCTTTGTTTGAACATGCTAATAGGAGTCGGCAAGCAAGGTCTCTGCTGTTCTTGTGAGTATAGGCATTTCAGTTCCCATTTGCATATATGTCTATTCCTGGGTGTGTTACAGTCACTGTATAACAACTTGTAGCTTCCCAGTACCATTAGCCAGCACAATAGTGTTTTTCCCTTTGTCTCTTCTATGCACAAGTTCCCAAGGTTGCATTTTAAATGCTTGTGAGGCTTTCAGAACTCTCATTTGAGGGAGTTTTCTATGTTACAAAATCTTGTCAAATTTAGGATGTTCCCTTTTGCCTCCACTTTCTTTTTCTCTTAATAAGTATCATGTTTAGGTGTCAACATTATATTTTGTTGTTGTTTCCTATTTATATTCATAAATAATTATGCATTTCTTTATCGCACATTGACTAGCTTAGTATCTAATTTAAATTTTCCTTAAAATTCTTGTTTTATTGTTAATGATCTAGATTCCRGTTTTCCACATGCGGGCTACCAGCTTAGTTTCATAAAATTTCAGAAAAATTACTGCACTCAAATAAGACTTGCGTAAGACTTTTTCACTTGCATAAGACTTTTAAATGCAGTTACTATACTTCAGTTCATTCAACTATATACCTATATGTGTGTTCTGATAATCTGTGTTTGACTAGCTCATAACCTGTACCTTTAATAACCCATATTTTACCAGAAGATATCTCATCTCTATTTGAGTGTTTCAAGAGATAGATATTCTATATCTTTCCTTTGCGATGTATTCCTCGATTAATCTTTTTTTTTTTTTTTTTTTTTTTTCTGATTTGACTATGTCTGATAGACAGTTCCAGTGACTGGTACATGTTATGGACTGCTCCATTAGATTGATGAGATCTTTAGTACCCGCTATATTCTCTTCATGGTGATATCACGTCACCTTTCATTCTTCTTTTTGATAAATTAATCGGATTCTTAGTGTATCCTTCTTTCTCCATTTCTGGAATGAAAGGTAGCCTATCACAGCTGATCAAAACCTTTCTGACTGTACAGTTGTATTCATTTTGTGTAAGACTACTTTAAAAGAATGAGGATTTTGTAATCAGCCATTTCTCTCCTCTCTGTGAGCCACAAAACTCTTTAGTGAGAGTGTCTAAAGGGCTTCCCTATGCTACTCTCTTACTTCACCCAGGAAGGGACATGAATCTTCATACTAAATGAYAATTTCTTCATCTTGCTAAGCTTCTCCTCTTATATATTTTCAAAGCGTTGCTATAGATTTCATTATTTGTGTGGAAAAAAAAAAAAAAAAACCAACAGGGAAACTGCAGGGGACCTCACCATCCCTCCATGGTCCAATCAACAATGTTATTCCCTGCAGTTTGTCTGATTAATGGCTGCACCTCCCACTGGGTTTGTGTAATAGGTGCAAGCAAGGTGTTTAGAAGTACTTTGTGCTTAATTGCTCTTGAGGTCAAAAGCACAAGACATATATCATGCAGGGTATTCATCTTCAGTTTTTAATAGTTAACTCTATTCAATGCAACTATAAGTAGTGGCGTTATTTCTTCCTCTGTGAACTGTTACAGTCTTGTTAGCTCTTCGGTCATCACAGAAATATTCTCATAGAGTTCTCATAGAGTAGTGAGGAAGACTTTGCATTGTGCCCTGACGTTTGTATATTTTCCAAATGCAGCTAGTGTGATCTTTAAAGACCTGGYCACCAAAGATAGTTGCGCAAAACAGGTAGGGAGGGGTTAGAAAAGAAAGCTTCTCTGGAGATAGTGTTTGGGAAAGTAAGAGTTAAACTTGGGATGATTGCATGAAATGCATGAAAGCAATTGCTATCTGGAAATGGACTAATCAACCATTTAAGATTTATAAATCAATAGAAAGAACAACATAAACTCATTGGCTTTTATTTTTGTGCTTGCCAGCTGCTCTCATGCCTATAGTTTGTAAAATATAGATTTCTTTCCACTAGCAGATGACACCAAAACATTTGGCAGTCATCAATTTATCTTTAATATTTTTGTCATTTGGGAATTATTGAGAAAAAATTTAGTGAGCTCTTATTTAATTAAGCATTTCCTGTTATGTAATGATAGTGCATTCTTGGATTTTTCACTTGCATAATATTTCCTGTACTAATTGGCCTTTTGTATTCCATGGAAAAAGCAGTCTAGTTTGAGTTTTCATTGACTGATTGGATTGATTGTATAGAGATGGCATGCTGGTAACATTATTTACTTAATAAAAATATAGTCAGAAACACCATTGCCTCAGCATCTATTAACACATCTTTTTTTTTTTTTTTTCCTTCAGTTTGCAAGTATACAGTCCATGAACGCTGTGTCTCAAGAGCTCCTGCTTCTTGCATCAAAACCTATGTGAAGTCTAAAAAGAACACGGATGTAAGTCTGGGACAGCATTACCTTTGACATGAACCTGTTATTTAGTAACCATATGTATATCCACACTTTTCTGTTGCAGGTAATGCACCATTTCTGGGTAGAAGGAAATTGTCCAACAAAATGTGATAAGTGTCACAAAACTATAAAATGTTACCAAGGCTTGACTGGACTTCACTGTGTTTGGTGTCAGATCACAGTGAGTACACTACAATAAAACCTTTAGCATAGGTGAGACAGATGAAAATCTAAAGAAAAATTCTAAACAGCAATAACAATAATATTGATTCTAAAGAACAGAATTCCTTAAATATATATATATTGGAATTATTATAAAAGTATTTTAACTACTGGTAAAAGCCAAGGTCACTGTGAAGTAAGGAAAAATCACAATCTATGGTGTACYGACAGACCAATATACTTGAGGACATCTGGTAAGATACAACGTTTTCAAGTGCCTGAGAGTGATAGCAGGAACAGCTTGGTAAAATCCTAATCTGTGCACTATGTCTAATATATACAACTGTGTGTACTCCTTATTCAGCAGTAACCAGTAACTGGAACTAACAACATTCAAGGAACACTACTCTTAAAAGTGAAATCTTCATGCTAGAAGGAACAATGCCAGTATTTCTGTTCCTAGACAAAGCAATATTTGAATCTAAATGGGGAGAGATTCAAACCCCTTATGGGCTTTTTATTATTTTATTTGCTGTTGTTATTATTGTCATCATTATCACCATTGCTATTATTATTATGGGACATCAGTCATTTGTTCAGTGTTTAAAGAATAATCTCAGGTGAGACATTAGAGAATATTTGTATTCCACAAAAATTTGAATGTCTTATGACTTTTTTTAGCATAAGAATGTGGAAAATGATCAAAAGTATCCAGGATACTTTTTATGATAAGCTGTTATGATCACATAAAGCACAATATTTTACAAGGAAGCAAATATGTACTCCAGATTGCTGTCAAAATTTGGATAATTTATTTCAAAAATAAACACCCAATCCAAAATATTGGTATGTAAATTAGACAACGACCATTTCTCCTTAGGTAGGTAAATAGTATTCTGCTGTAAATATACATATAATTTGTTTATTTAGATTAAATTATATATATGAAACCATATATATTTATATCATTAGAGAAATTTGTTAGGTAAGGCTTCCATTGGAAGTCAAAGGAAGTTGCAAATTCTGTAGCTTCTCCAAAAAATATTTTCCTGATGTTTGTTCACTTAAATATGAATGTAGACCAGATTTTTAAAGGCATATCACCAAGACTTGGAAGACTTATTTAAGCAGTGAGAAACAGTGAGGAAATACCAAGGAATTATTTCTCACTGAAATCATTGGGAATCAATACAATAAATTCTTTGGAAAATATCTTACGTACCTATCTCCATATTTAAATACTTGAGAACTAGAAATCACTATTCCAATTAAAGAAATGAACATATCTTTTTAGATGTGCAGATACGAAAATATTGACATTAGCATATTTCATGTTGTATTCTCAATCTGTAATTTAAACATTTATATTTTTATTTTAAAAAGTTATATTTTTGAAAGAACTTTATGAATTCTTTATTTCTGCAATTTCCAGTGTAAATTAGGTACAAAAGTTAAAACTTCTTGCTTTTCAAATTTTAAGAATTAAATTTAATTTAAATTTAATTCTCAGTCTCCTGTTTGCTTTTTGGACAATTCTACATAAGCAGAATTTTTAGAAATTTTCTTTTCTCATGATAAAATCTTGCTTTATTACTGGAAAAATATTTTAAGTATTAGATAACGTTTTAATGGATATTCTAGATTTATTTTTTATCACATCTAGTGCAATCACATTTTTAGTCAATTGCACATCAGGGGCTTGTTGCTAAAGTATTGTTGCAACACAAGAGGATGTTAGGTGTTATACAGCCAATTCTGAGCCTTTAAAACATTTTTTTTCCCCTTCACATAAGTTAGGATCATTTTTGATGTTAATGACTGCTTAAAAACAAAAAAAGATTTTTGAGAGCATTTGAGCTAAAGAGGCTTGTTATACATCATTTTACTCTAGATCTTGTTCCCCTTTCCATAATCCTTGTAACTCTGTCCTTCTACACAGTAATGTAAAAGGCCTTTTCCTCAAATTTTCAAGTAAATACAGATTTTCCTACTTCCCAGGCATCTGGTTGAGAGGGAGGTAATATTGTAAAGAAGTAGGTTTTAGGTAAAAGAGTTTTTGGAGGTATGTATTTAAAAATTGCTAAAATCTTTTTCAGAAAAGATGCACATTTTTTATTTTATTTCATTTTACTCAAAATGTTATTTTCATTAAAGCCATATATCATCTAGCGTTTCTCTTGTCTGCTCTGCATCAAATCTGTTGTCAAAGATCAGCAGAGACTATATGCATCAAATCTATTGTCAAAGATCAGCAGAGACTAATAAGATTAAGCTATTTTTTTTCGTAGATAAGTTTGCATGCCACCGAGTAGCAGAGCTGCTAATTATCACTGAATGTGTGAAGATACTTTTATTTGATGTAACATAGCCTGGTGTGCATTAATTATGGTACAAGTATCCTTACCACTGAGGCAAAGAATTATCATGACAATGATTTAGATTACAGGGCTACCAAAATACCCTCATAATAGGGCTTTAATACTCAGAGTAAATCAAAACTCGTTAGACTTCTATTTTCTGTTGCTAAGTAACTGCCTGAGAAGGTAACTTTGCAGTATAAATGAATATGGACAAGGCTAATATTAGGTGCTGTTCAGTTCAAAATTCAGAAATGTTATGTCTACATTAACTGTACTAGATGACTTCATGAAGAACATATTACTGGCAAAGCTTATATATATCAGCAATTGGTAAGATTTTATTGTACTTTTGATGAAGATCATAGTGACATGGTTAAATTACCTAAGGAAAAATGAATCAGTCATTGGAAAAATGTGATTTATAGATGTAACCATTGAACTATAGGTTGTGTAACAGCTATTAAACCTGTTGAACTAATACTGTATGCTACCTATTAAACCAGATGTAAAACTTAATAAATAAGATTTATTCCTCAMAATATCTGATGTTTATTATCCTAATTATTGTCCTCTAATGCAAATAGAAATATATATATCCTCTCAAAAAAATGCTTATATTTAAGGAAAATACATGTAATAGCTGAAATACCTAATGCACAGTTTGTTCAATAAATAATAATTTTACACCAAATTTCACAATATTGAATTCCATTTTTATTGTAACTAACTCTAATATTGTAAACTATGCCATCCAAATATGAATAGGATGTGTGATCTATGTACACAACTGCATTTTTGTACTGTGCTGGTTGAATATCTATGTTAAAATATTCTATTTAGAGACATTTGAATTGAGTCTTCTAAGGTATTAATAAAATCTGTTGCTAATGCAATATATTGTAATGAATATATTATTATTATTTCTTTTACTTTCGTATTATTGTGATATACACCTTTTTTCCCTTTCCCTTTTTATCAAAACAGAAGGAAGATGGTATTCTTTTAATCAGCAAAACTAAGGATATTCTTTCTATGTTCTTAGAGTGGAATTCTTTCCATTACTTTCATGAAAACTGAATGAATGTTGGAAATAAACTGCAGTATGCTCAGTTTCCTCATCAGTCAATAAAATAATTGTCAGTTCAAATTGGTTCAGATAGTYGTCAAATTGCATCTGTATTACTTAAACTTTTTGATATTCTTATATTATTCTCATCTATTTCGTGTGCATTTTCCTACATACTGTGGCATCAGAACTGAATCAGTAATTACTTTATCAGCTTTCAATGGAAGTAGCATTATATCAATAGTGCCAAAGGCTTTCCCAAATTCTTGCAAGACAAGAACAGAAATAGTACTATAATACCTGACTCAGTGCAAGAATTTGTCTTATGAAATAAAAGTTTTAATCACCAATAGGTATTGCTAATCACTGCCGATGTCACTTTACTGTCAATGTAACATAGTTCTCATATTTTATGCTGCATTAAATGTAGCATTTACAAATTGGAAGGCATTTTGATCCACTGTTCTTCATCATTTCAGTATAAATTTGTTGGTTTTGTCAAGCCCCAAATTTTTTTYCCAGTTTTCCTCTGCACTGTTTCATTTCCCGTGTAGTACTACAGTAGTATTTAGATTACTTTAATAAATTAAATTCACTGCATTCTAGTATTATGTTTTAGGAGATTTTTTTGGACCATAGAGGTAAAAAGATGAATATTCATTTTCTGTCTTTTCATAGTTACATAATAAATGTGCTTCACATCTAAAACCTGAATGTGACTGTGGACCTCTGAAGGATCATATTTTACCACCCACATCAATTTGCCCAGTAGTATTGGTGAGTTGTTTATATTTTCTGTTCTGAAGAAATCTTCTATCATAAGTAACGGGTAAAACTGGGAAGGTACTGATTGCTGGTACTGAAATAGTTGTTTCCACAGGGATATATAAACCTTACATAGAATRGATATCTTACCAAAAATCTTACCAAAAAATGGATAATCTCAGGAAGAAGCATATCACTTTATCCACTGCCTATTGCATTTTCCTTTATGTGACAATGAACTTTCTGTAGGGCATGTTGTAACTGAAGCTGATTCAGATTTTATCACTTAGTCAGACTGTACTTACCAGAAACTGTATAGGCAGAACACTACGTTTTACATCTTTTATAGATCCAGCTTCCCAGAATAATGAAGTTATTCTTATGGACAGTTTTTGCTTGGGATGCATATTGTATATCTGTGATGCTGAGGTCTCTGATCTAAGCCGGAGGTTACCTAGAATGATGACGCTGGTCTTGCAGTGAGCTATGCATCAACATTATGGTATATTTTATTCTGCAGTAGTGGACAGTAAATTTCTCTGTCCACAAAAACAATAATTCAATTCAATGAAAATAAAATGCATGCTCTGTGTAGGTTGTACTGAAGAAACTGAGCAGTTTATCATGAGAAAAGATTTTCAGAACTTCATAGATTAAATTAGATATTTTATGCAGATAAAGGTCATAGCATCCTCATATTCATGCCAGAACAGACATGTGTGCTCTTCTTATTTTAAATATACTTCACAATAAAAATAAACTCTTGACCTTGAGAAAGCATATGGCAGTGAGGAAAAAAAAAAAGAAAATTTACCTTCCAATCTGAAACATTTTTTGGTAATTAAAAATAATATTCATACTTTTAGTAAATTACTTGTCTTCTGATTAACACTTTTGGCTGTTTATTTATGAATATTCTTTAGGATATTCATAAACTTGACTCTGAACCTGTACTTGAGAAAACTGGTGATATTCTATTATTGTAAATAGAGGTAAAGCAATGGAAAGCTGATTTTAATATTTATCTTGGGTTTTTTTTTTTTTTTAGAATTTATATGATTTTTTAAATATTTATTAAAAGTCCCAACAATGATTTTCTAATTCATTTCTTATCATATTTTTGTGTTATCGGACCATGTTCTGAATAATTATTGTACCATTATTTTAAATTTGTTGGATGATAACTTTTACATTACATCATTTTATTTTCATGATTTTAGATCATAGTCTAAGAGCTGATATATGGAAATCATGTTTTTCTCTGTTTTTACTTGATTGTTATTTATTGCTTACCACTCTTATATGAATGAATGAAGCCTCTGCATGAAATTTCATCTTCAATTATGTTTGTGTAACTCCATTTTCTTTTCAGGAGAGGAAGAGGTATAGCGAAATTATGATTTTCGTTGGAGTTTAGTTGAGTTGTTTAGAGGATATATAAAACCACTCTAGAGTTAAAATCTATCTATCTATTTTTCCTGTATCAGAGTTATGTTTCACTATTACATACTAATAATGTAACGTTAAACATGTATTTCAGCACTGTTTGTATATCAGTGGGAATTGAAAGTGTGTTTTACTGTCACTTAATGGGATCTGTATAATTTCATAGTATACTTGTTCTTTAGTAAATTCTTACAAAAATATATTAAAATCTTGGGATTACTCAAATTACAAATAATATATCAATGACCTGGCTAATAGGAATATCTCCTAGAAATGATTGATTACAGTGTACGTATTATTTATCTTAGTAATTCTTTAATTAGTTTCTACCATTTCCTGTTATGGGGATTCCTTTTGATAAATGCAGTACTTCAGTGAATGTGAAACAAGCACTCTAGAAACAACAGCAGTGATTTTTTTTTTTTTAATCCAAATGCTCTAGAGGTATGCTAGTAAGCATGATTGTTAATAAAAATAATGCTTATATTCATAAACACCTGACAATCAGAGGGTCTTTCATCCAGGACACATGTTTGGCTTCATAGATCACCTAGGCAGTGGTATTCTCAGGGCACTACTTATACCTGCAAGGAAAGGGGCTTTTCTAGCAGGGTAATGGAGATGCAAGAAAAGAAAATATCTGTTTCTACCCTAAAAGAACGAAAATGAATTGTGGATAAGACAAAAGAACAAGTTGAACTGTTTTCAATCTTTCATCTCATAAGAGGTCTGTTTAGAAGATGGAGATTTCCTATAAAAGATGATCATAAAATAGAGTGACTCTCATTGCCCCTAGAAATTGTGTATCTAAGTAAGAAAGGTATATGGTAAATAAGAGGGCTTCCACCTTCAAAATCCCAAAATGGGGTTTGCCAGCTTTTATTCATAAATATGATAAGCTGAAAAATGAAACTATGTTGAAACTCAGGCAATTTGAAAACTTCCATTGCATGTAGTATCAAAAAACGTGTATTTGTCCAGGCTACCTTCAGAATTTGATGCTGTGTGAGCATTTTCATACTTCCCTGCAGTAACTGTAAAATGATTCATTTGAATGTAGTCTGTCCCTTTTGAAACTCGTCCTTTCACTTTTCTGTTTAGTCTATGTAAAGCTTGTATGGTAAAGTTTCTTCCTTGAGTTAAATGAGTTTTGTTATAAACTGTGTGTGCAGATCTCAAGTGATAGTCTTTTAATAGATGTCAGATACACTTTAATGCTACCCTCTTTTATTTCAGTAACGTTTTAATTAATTCATACTGATTGAATAAATGTACATTGAGACTTGTTTCCTAATGAGGGCGCATTTAGAGGAAAGGTTTTGCATCATTCTGATATCCTGTGGGTAATTATATTCTAATTATATGGTGGGGGGAAAAAGTCTATAACTCAGTGCTGATATTGTTCATTGGACCCAATTAATTACATGCACATAATGAAAGTTCATGATAAGGTTGACTGACAGTGAGTTTAAAAATCTTTAACTCAATTGAATCCTAGCCTACAGAGAACAGAATTAGATCATAACCAGGTTAAAAACTGAGTATTGGAATGAGATGAGTAAGTAGTAAAGAAAAGAGATTGGTCTGTTTTTATGATACAGCTTTCTTTTTTCCTTTTTTTCTTTTTTTTTTCCCTCTTTTCCCCTCCTTTAAAGGCAGAAAGGGAAAAGTGCTAACATATATGTTTACTTCTTTTCATGTCTCCTTTTTTTTTTTTTCTCCATTTCTAATGAGCACATATAATGTTCTAATTTTTATTTATATATATACAAAAATAATTAGATTCTCTATTTCCCATCAAATTTATACAAATAAATGTAAGTTTGAGTAGTGATTAAATAAACCAATAATAGCCTACAATATAATGTCTATCTACAATATGTCTTATGATGTATGGTAATTCTGATTCTATCACTTATATAAACATTTCTGCTTAATTTCTAGCACARTTTTTGAAAACTATAATTAAAACTGTTAATTATGCAATGCAAAGAAAATCATGGAATAAATTATAAAGCATAAGGTACACTGATTACTGTGAGTATTCCTATATGGCAGTTACCAATGTCTCTATAGTAACCAGTTTATTTCARATAGGTGAGGGTCTGGTGTAATATTGAAGACAAGCAGTGTTAGAAATAAAATTTAATATTGGACATGTTTGCAGCAATTTCATTTTTCTGCATACTGGTCTAAACTAGTCACCATAATAAAAAAAAGTTTAGAACTCACTTAGCTCTTGTAAAGAAATTAAACTTGTTTGTTTAGTGATGATACTCACTAAATTTTAGGACAAAATCAATTAAACTAGGCTGGAATATATGATGTATATCTCACAGTGATTTTATATTTCTAAATGTATACACTATATTATTTTTATAGAGTACATATTTGTGCTATGTGTACATATACAGGTAATACAAAATAACATATAACAAATAGAATTCACTGGGCTTTACTTTCAAATACATCATTTTGGTGGAGAAGATATATCTGATTTTGATTGTTTTAGTTTTTTCTTGTACAAGAACAAATGTGTTGAAATATTGTGTTTATAACTAGTCTGGTTTCAACATATACTATATATAGCAGATGAAAAGCATTGCAAGGTCTCATGCAAATAAACATTTTATATTGTTATAGTTTGTTTCAAATGTCCATGAATTTGTCTARGTATAGCAAATGTGTTGTATGATGACAGAAAGTACTTTAAAGAATGATTATGTGCAAGACTTTTCTTTTTTGGTRTTTAGAGAGATGAAATAGAATAGCTTATAAGTTTGCTATAATGTTACACATGCAACATAATTTTGTAGGTACTTTTCCATGTCGATAATGTATACAGTAAATGTTTGAGGATTTACATTTCAGGTAAATGTTACCACATAGAAATATAGAGATGCAGAGAGAGRAAAAGGAAATTAACAGTTGCAGTTATTCCTAAAATGATTCTTCTGCTTTTCTTGAAAGTAGAGGCTAAGTTGAATTAAGCCAGTTGAATTCAAGCACTGAGTGCATGAAGTCAGGGCAATTTGTAAGCATCTTTATGAGCAATGAGATGCTTGCAAGCTGAGCACTAGTCTTATTGTGAGTTTCTAAACATAGACACAGCAGGAATGACTATTTGAACATATATTCTTTTATGAGGAAAAAAATCTAAATCTTCTTGCTAGATATTAAATAATGACATCGGAACTGAAATAGAAGAATACCATTTTTTCCATCTCTGTTGCATATCATATTGCAGATTCAATTCTCTGAGAATCTAAAACAGACCTGAAATATAATGGTGTGCTTATCTACAATAAGAGCTTTTTCATTTTTTGAAGTCAAAAGGAAATTAATAATTGCCCTGGAGGAGAATGTATCTTTCTAACTAATTATCTGTTCAGCAAACACAGTTCAATGTTAAAATAATAAGATGCTCATAAACTGAAATGGCAGACATTCAATCATTTTAAGTTATATCTAGTTTCCTGCCCACAGTTCATACTACTCTCTGTTCCTATGTTTGTTCCTTACACACTCTCCCATTATAGTTTAAAATGTTTTTTTTTTCCAAAATACTTTTTTCTTTTTTTTTTTTATTCCTTGAAGCATATATAGTTGTCTACTGTAGCCCAAGTATATTTTAAGTTTTAAATTAAGTTAAAAATGTGGGGCCCTGCTGTTACAAATTGATATAAATTTTGAATGGATGCAAGGTATAAGTCCAGTTGCCTTTCACTAAGGAAACAAACAGGCTGACATGCTAAACGAGAAATATGTGGTTCTGATTTTAAGTCTTCATATCTCTATTAAGTCATTTTAGAAAAGCAACACAAATTTTATATTAAGTCATGATGTAGTGACTTTATGTTCAAAATAGACTTAGAGAGTTCTTGTCCTCGGAGTAAATTTTCAGATGATATGCTATTCACACCAACTATCACTTATGGTGGCTACCAGTATTATGGATGAGGAAATAGTAATGCACATTGTTGATCTCAGGCTGCTAGCATAAACCTCTGCAACTACTCTTTAATCATTCTGATTGACATAATATTTCTGACAAAACAGCTGTCAAATTATTAGAAGCCTCATCTTCCCTTTATAGGATGAGCACATATCRCTCATTGGATACTCTTCTTGCTAATGAAGAAATCACTAATCTTGTCCACAGGATGACTTTTAGGTTCAGACCATTGACATGGGTATTGAGCTCCGTGAACTTTCAAGGCAGCATGATACGGTTGTGCTATTGAACTGGCACTTCTGATTAATTTTTTTACATATACTGAGCTGGAAATGTGGGGATAACTGTATAATTTTTCAAATACTATGGCCTGTGTATATCATAGTTTGATGTAATGTTCTATAGCTGTTACAGATCGATTCCTTCCCAGGTGTGCCCACCATCAGTTTTCAGAGTATCTGAATTCTGTTTGATTTTTGGGTAACTATGAACAGAAATTATATGGAATAGAATTTTTGTAAGTAGACTTACAATATAACAGTCAAGGAGTATTTAGTATTTCATTGCATATTAAAGCACAGTTTTTACATCCCTTGGAGACTACTAGGCACTAGAAATTTGTAATGTGACTTGTAAAAAAGACTAAATTTCCCTTCTTTCAGATTCCTTAAAAGAGGAAAACCTTCAGTTTGGCATTTAACTCACATAATTAATCTTCTGTGAACTCCTTGCAAAAATTTGAGGATATTTTTCGATCATTGACAGATCGATATCTTTCAAGTTCAAGCCTCAAAGTTCTAAAATAAGAATTTTATTAATATATTCAGTTTACACATAATAGTGTTGAATTGAGTTCTTTTCTTATTCACTACCACCTCCAAACTGGATTTTAGGGTATATGCCTCAACAGACAAGGTATATGTTGTAAAAGAAGTAAGTACTATAAGAAATTCATCTGGAGATTTCAGTAGTTATTTGACACATTATTTAATGAAATTAACATTCACTAGTGGTTTTACATTACTAATTAATGTATAGATTCTAAAAAATAAATAGCTTTAATCTAATTTATGTACAAAATAGTTTAGAAATATACAATTTTTCACAAATTGAGTAGGAGACTGTGGCGAAATGTGGCWGTTTTTGCTGCATAAGGGCTGTATTTCATGTCAGTAGTTAAAATATATAGAGAAGACTAATTAGAAAACATTAATTGTTAATTTGTTTTCTCATGACAACAGCTATGACAACATATTTCTAAATATCACTTTT